GCTTGAGACATCCTCCAAACTCTGAGCCCCGAGCTGCCGCCCAAGAGGTGGTCTTGCCCGTTTCACTTGAAACATCCTCGCACTTTTGCATTCCTAGATGCCGCGCGAGAGGTGGTCCGGCCCGTTTCGTCTGAGACGTCCTCCAAACTCTGAGCTCTGAGATGCCGCGCGCGAGGTGGTCTGGCCAACTTCGCCTGAGACATCCTCGAAACTCTGAGCTCTGAGCTGCCGCGCAAGAGGTGGTCCAGCCCATTTCGCCTGAGACATCCTCGCAACTGACCTCGGAGATGCCGCGCGCGACGTGGTCCAGCACCGTTTCGCCTGAGACATCCTCGCAACTCTGAGCTCTGAGCTGCCCTGCGCGAGGTGGTCCGGCCCGTCTCGCCTGAGACATCCTCGCAACTCTAAGCTCTGAGATGCCGTGCGCAAGGTGGTCCGGCTTGTTTCGCACAAGACATTCTTGCAACTCTGAGCTCCCAGATGCCGCGCAAGAGGCGGTCCAGCCTGGGGGCCCAGAAGACCACATATTACATATCCTCCCTGGGACCCTGGGAGCCCCAGGAGGCGCCAGAGAGCTCCAGGAGGCCGCAGGTTGCCAGGACAGGCCCCAGGGGTCCCCAGGAGATTCCCAGGAGGCTCCAGGAGGCCCCAGGAGGCCTCCTACCAGAATGTGTCAAGTTAATACACATCCGGTGTTGATCTTTCCTGCTCTTGTGGCCCCCCCTCCATTTTGAGGGGCCCAAGCGGCCACATGTTAGATATCTCCCCCTGGGAGCCCCAACAGGCTTCAGGAAGCCCCAGGTGGAGTCCAGGAGGCCACAGGAGGCCCAGGAGGAAGCCCCAGGAGGTCCCCAGGAGGCCCCCGCAACTCGGAGCTCTGAGACGCCGCGCTCGAGGTGGGCCGGCCCGTTTCGCCTGAGACTTCCTCGCAGCACGTTTCGCCCGAGACCCGCTACGCTGGAGACATCCTCGCAACTCTGGGCTCCGAGATGCCGTTCGGGATGAATAGAGGAGGTGGAGGAGGAGGAAGAGGAGGAGGAGGGAGGAGGAGGAGGAGGAGGAGGAGGAGGAGGAGGAGGGGGAGGGGAGGAGAGGAAGAGAGGGAGAGATGGAAGGGAGAAGGAGGGGATAATGAGGATGATGTGGATGAGGGAGCAGGCAGGAGGAGGGGAAGGGGGAGGGGGATGAGGAGGAGGATGAGGAGGAGGAGGAGGAGGAGGAGGAGGAGGAGGAGGAAGGAGAAGGAAGGGAGTTGCAGGAGAGGACCTAACGGGAAGCGAATGTGACGTGGACTTGTCAGAACGTGTGCGAGAGGTTGTCCGGTCCGTTTCGTTTGAGACATCCTTCCAATACTGAGCTCCAAGATGTCGCTCGCGAGGTGGTCCGGCCTGTTTCGCTTGAGCCATGCTCACAATGCGAAGCTCGAAGATGTTGCGCGCGAGGTGGTCTGGCCCGTTCTGCCTGAGACGTTTCTTAGCACAGGGGCTCAAATCACAACCTCTCTCATTCCTTCTCCCGCCTCCCTCTTCCCGCTTCCCGCCTGGCTCCTCTTCCCTCCTCCCTCCTCCCGCCTCCCGCCGCTGCTGCGCCTCTGCCTCCGCCTCCCCGTCCCCGCCGTCGTCGTTTCTGCCGCCTCAGCATCCGTCATGCGCGCCCTGCCTTCTGCCCTCCCCAGACATCCGACGCCACGATTTTTACCTCTCGATATCATCCCCAGGGAAACCATCACGACATGCCCCCCCGCTTCCGCGCCCTCCCCCGCTTCCTCTTACACTTGCTTCCGAGTTCACAGCATGGCGGTGGAGCCTCTCACAGTGCCGACCCGACAGATTACTCGTCGACCAGATGCGAGAGAGTACAACACCCTCTAGCGTTAGCTTCCTGATAGGCATGCGTCACTCAAGTTGTCGTGTAGACATCTCATGTGCAAGCATCCTGTTATCATGTTCTAACATGCCATGCCAGCCCACACTGGACGGGCACGCAATCGACCTTGGAAACCGCAATGGGTAAAAAAACTGTTTGGGGATACTGCACTCCGGCTATAGTTATATGAAGCGCATGCTTGAGCACTTCAGAAACCGATAACACATGTTGTTTTATACATCTGGGAAGTATTTGGCAACACGCCTCCTCTCCATCGATCGTCTTCCACAGCCCTGCTCCTTTTGATCCTCAGATGCAGGGGGTCGACGCCTCGCCCGGGCAATTGTCCCGCCCCTCCGCCGCCGAGGAGGGACGGCAGAGGAGCGCCACGGCGCTGCACACAGCTGCCGCGAGGCTTCAAACGTGCGGAAGCGGGGAGAGAGGAGGAGGAGGAGGAGGAGGAGGAGGAGGAGGAGGGGGAGGAGGAGGAGGAGGAGGAGGAGGAGGAGGAGGAGGAGGAGGAGGAGGAGGACTCCCTGGAAGAGGGGTAGAAGGGAAAGGAGGAGGAGAGAAAGAAGCGGAAGCGCGAATCATCGCGGGCGAACGAAGGGCGGTCGAACGCGACTTTGTCCTCGGGGGCGCCTGCCCCGGGCGGCTGACTTCTTGAGCCTCCCACCTGCCGCCATGGGGGGACAAACCTTCCAGCCGCCATGAGACAGGCGTCCCCGACGTCGGAACGAGAACACTTTCTACCGTGACTCGCCAGCGGAGCAGCGATGCGCCACTCGGCGGCGTGCACACGCGGGGGTGGCGCGAGACGGGCGGCCTCCTGGTACGGCGGGGGGGGGGGGCTCCTTCTATATAGGAAGGCCGGGGCCCTTCTCAGAAAGCCTCCCGACCTGCGAAGGAAGCCTTCTCAGAAGCCCCAGGCCCCTCCAGAAATGGGGGAGCAAACATTGCATAAACATAAAACTCGGGGGGCCGCGCGGATTTCTCGGATCGGCGCTAGATCACCCTCCCTGGCGCGCGGAGCGCGCCAGGGGCGGCGCCGGGGTGCCCAGCGCCGATCCGAGAAAACCGCGCGGAACTCCGAGTTTTCGTGTTTATGTCATTCTTCGCTTCCCGAAGAAAGGGCCTGGCATCCTGAAAAGCCCCACCCCCTGCCTTCTCAGAAGGCCGCCCCCCCCCGTCTGGGCGCGCGCCGCCAATGGGGGGCAGCGGCAGGCTGTCTGGGGACGGTCCCAGGCTCGCGCCCAGACTGTGGGAGGATGCTTCGGGCGGTTTGCCTGGCTCTGCCCCCCGACCTTGTCCCCCTTCGTGGTCCACAGCTCGCAGCGGTGCAGTAGGGGCCCGACCACAAGAAAAACTTTCCACAAGAGACCCAACCCTGAGACTCCAGGACGTCCATTGATTCTTGGTGCGGGACCGTCACGCTTCCCGTCGCAAAACCGTGGCAGCCCAAGATACCCAGGGCACCCTGGAGGCAAGCAGGGTGTTTTTTGGCATGGGTCTCCAATGTACCGTCGGGACGTCTGCTTACAGCGTGTCGCGGCGGCGGCCCCGGCGACAAGCTATCCCTCGTGCCGCTCTTCTCCGCGGGGCGGGAGGCTGGGAAGGCAGCTCGGAACTTCGCCTCTCGGGAGCCAACGAAGAGGCCAGCGTGACGCGCCGAGGCGGGGTGGGCCAGAACGGTCGGCGCGGCACGCTGTCCGAAAGTTCCCGACCGCACGTGGGTCGCCGCGCCGTTTGTTCTCGGCAGGCCCAAGTGGACGACGCCGGCACCACGGCAAAAACCCACGGCTAACCCTGCGCCCCGCGCCCCAGGTAGACGGCGCTGGCACCGCGGCAAGCACCGCGGCGAACCCGCCGCGCCCGAGGCGGCGTTTGCTCTGGTGGCCGCGGCGCCCTCCCCAAGACGGAGGGCCGCGCGTCGGAACGAACGGCGCGGCGACATGTGAGAACTGGCCCCTCGCGGGCCTCCAGGGCGCGCGAAGGCACGCTGCAGCGCGCTTGCGCGCGTCTGCCCCACCAAGACCGCCCGTGGCATCGGCCACACCCACGGGAGACCCTGCGCAGGAGTGACCTCTGTAGAGGCCTCCCAGATTGGGTCAGAGCAGGTGGAGTCGGAGGATTGCACCGCATCGCCGATGCATCGGCGACGTCGGCGCGGAGCAAATCGGGCTCCGCATCGAGCCGCACCGCGCCAATGCTTCGGCGATGCGGCGCGAGCCTCGGACCCCATCTAACTACTCGGACCCCATCCGAGAGGCCTAGAACCAAAGCGCCGCCCTGCGGCTTCCGGGGGCCGGGCCCGCCACCCCCAAGCCGCGCAGGCCTCACGCTGGCCTGCGCGCTTGGATCTCAGTGCCTCGTCGTTCCGTTGAATTGGGGGGCGGAGGAGGCGACGGGGGAGGGCGCAGCAGCCAGCATGCCGTTCCGCTTGTTGGCGCTGAATTTGGCCGCCGCTGGGGGGGGGGGGGGGGGTAAATCCGGCCACGCAGGCCAGCGCTGAGGAGGGGACCCTTGCCAGGCCCGCACCACAGGCCACGCAGGCCAGCGCTGAGGAGGGGACCCTTGCCAGGCCCGCACCACAGGGAGGGTCACTCTGGCGAAGAGCCGTCTCCAGCCGGCAGCCTTCAGCTGGACCCGACCCGCCGCCCTCGACGGGCGCCCCGCGAGCCCGACCCGCCCCGCCTCGGGGGGGGCCACCTCCAGGCGCGCAGCCCGGTGCCGAGGGGGGCCCCTGCGGGCCCGCACCACAAGGCCACTCCAGCGCAGGGCCACTCTCTGGCATTGCCGGCTGGCGCAGGCGCCCGCCCCTCGTCGGCCCGCGCCCGCGAGCTCGGCGCCTCGCGGCGGGGACACGCCGAGCGGCCGTCGCACCATGCGGCTTCGGACGCGCAGGTGCGCGGTCGGCGCGGTGCCGCGGCGCGCCGCGGCGAGCACAGGCGCGCGCCCCGCGCGGCCCTGCGGCAGCGCGCCCTCGGGCCCTCATGCCTCGAGCCCTCATGCCTCGAGCCCTCGGCTCCAGCTCCTCGGCGTGGCGAGCTCGGCGGCCCTCTGCTTGCGCCGCCGCGCAGCGCGCGGCACCTCGCTGCCGCTGCCCTCCGCCGCGGCGCAAGTGTCTGGCGCGCCTGCCTCGGGCGCATGCGCGGCGGCCGCCGGCGCAGGCAGCGCGGGGCTGCCGTCGTGATCTCTCCTGCTGCCAAGGAGCTCGTCCAGGCGTCGCTCCAGCGCAGCGATCTGTTGGGCCACGCGCTCGTCGCACTCGGCCAGGCCCGCGTCCAGCCGCCTCTGCACCTGGTCCATCAGGGGCAGCAGCATCTCCTGCGGCTTGGCCTCCCCGACTGCATCTGCCCGATCGCACGCCTTCGAAGTGGCCTTCGTGACGAAGGAGAAGCATGACAGGAAACGCGATGGCGGCCGCAGCTCTGGGACTTCGTGGGGCTCCCCGACATTGCAAGTCAGGCCACCTTCGGACTCGTTCGCCCGCTCGCCCTGTGGCTCTGTGTCGAAACTCTCGTCGAGAGTCTTGTCCGCGGCGTCAACCGGGCTCGTCGCGCTCCCTTCCTCGTCCAGCTCCTTGTCAATTTCCTGCAAGGGGGCGAGCCCCGAGGCGGCCGCGAGGTTGCCCAGCGGCAGCTTCGCCACCACGGGCCTCCCAGCATCTCTGGGCGACATCCGGGGCATGCCCAGCGTCTGCCTGGGAGTGGCAGGCCCCTGCCTGGGAGTGCAGGCACCATCCTCGCCCAGCTCCGTGGCCGCCTCCCGCAGGGGGGGCAGCCCCGAGGCGGCCGCGAGGTTGCCCAGCGGCAGCTTCGCCAGCACGGGCCTCCCAGCATCTCTGGGCGACATCCGGGGCGTGCCCAGCGTCTGCCGGGGGGTGGCGGGCCCCTGCCTGGGTGTTGCGACGCGGTTCTGCGCGGCGATCCACGAGTGAAGCTCCTCGATCCGTCGCTCGAGAGCCGTGATCTTCTCCTGCTGTGCGGCAGCGGCGTCGTGCTCTGCTGCGGGGCGCGCCTCCTCCAGGAGGGGCGCCGGCGCCAGACCTCCACCGCGCTCCAGGGCCCCCGCAATCCACGCGCTGATCTCCTCGATCCGGTGCTCGACGGCAGCGAGCCTGCCCTCCTGCACGGGCGGGGGGGCGCCCTCCGCCGGCTGGAGCGCCGCCGCCGGGGCTGGGGCCGACGGGAGCGAGCCATCCCGGCCGTCCAGCCAGAGCTGCATCTCGTCGAACTTCTCCTCGAGGCTGGATATCTTGTCCTCCTGGACGACGCTGGCGAACTGGGCGACCTCGTTGAGGCGGTTCTCCTCCCTCCTGAGCCGCTTCTGGAGGTCCTTGATGTCCGCGGAGCTGGAGGCCTGCCCCTTCTCCAGCGCCTCGATGCGCATGCCGAACGTCGCGGCCTGCGACTGCAGGTCCCCCTGGTCGGCCTCCAGCATCCCCAGCTGCCCGTGCACCGCCGCCTCGGCGGCGCTCTGTGCCGCCTCGAGCTCGCCGAGGCGACGCGCCGCAGCCTGCCACGCCTCGCGGAGCTCCGCCAGCTGCTCCGCCACTGCGGCGGCCGCCGGCCGCTCGTGGGCGCCGGGCGCCTGCGGCGGCTGGGCCTGCCGCGCGCCCTCCCGGCGGGCGCCGGACGCCTGGGTGCCCGGGAGCTCGGCCATGGAGCCCTCGCTGGCCGGGGGCCGGCGCTGGGCCTCCTCGGGCAAGGCGGGCGCGCCCCTGGCAGGACTCCCGAGCGAGCCAGCGTCGCCGCGTCGCTTCGAGGCGCCCTCGAGCAGCTCGACCCTCTTCAGGAGGTCGCCCCACCACGGGAGCTGCGAGAGGTCCGACTGCAGCCTGCCGATGCGGCCTTCGTTCTCCTCCACCCTCTGCTCCAGCGTCCGCATCCTGCCGCCGGCGGGCGGCTGGTGCGACGGCGCTGGCCGCGACCCAGGGCCTTCCCCCGTCGTCAGCGCCCCGACGCGCGGAGTGGCCAGCACTGCTGCGCCAACATGGCCTGAACCAAAATGGCTACAGCCATCTCGCTACCAAAAAAAAAACAGAAGACGGAACGAATTCGCTCTGCTGCTCTCCTTCATCAACGTGTGTAAATAATCACAGCATGGTAGCCAGAGTCCCTCCTGAACCCAACGTGGTCCGCACTTCAGTGTCTTGACTACATGCACCGCTCATCCTCCTCTTCCTACCGACGGCATTTTCGAACTTCAGGGGTCGGGTCGGAACGGGCTTTCCGCGCTTCTGGAGCAGACTATGGCGCTGGGAGCGTCCCTGATGGATGGACCAAGCCTGCCGAAGGAGGATTCGTGTCGGAAGAAAGCATGGGGAAACCAAAAGGTACCGATACCGCTACTCCCCAGACCTCTCCTGGGGTGCGTTCTAACTAGGAATTCTAAGAGAATCCAGCGGTGGCGACGAGGACCTCCTGGGAGGCCCCAAAAGGGGAAAACGAAGGAAGGGTAGAGGTGTGGGTACCTTTCCCTTTTATGAGAGTCGTGTCAGAAGGAGGAAGCAAGGGGGGGAGTATCTAAGCGAAGGTTAGCGAATCGGTGCACGTCGCCGGTTTTCCTGGCACGCCTCGGCGCCCGAGACGGCAATGTGTGTCGAGGAAAGCGCCCAGCAGCGAGGCCGAGGACAGCTGCATGAAGCATACAGTCGGCCCGTATCATAAGGACGCACGGTAAAGATACAAGGGCCTTGGAGGACCATTTCGAAGCTTTTCGAGCGGACGCGGCCAGCGAAAGTGGCCAAGGATGGACCGAAGAGGCAAGGACACAAGGGTACCCTTGGGAAGGTTACCCATCCTTACCATGCGGGTTGATTGTAATTCGCATCCTCACCTTTCCCACCCGCCCCCCCTTTCGTCTCACCCAAAGGAGGGAAAGAAGGGTGAGGAGAGTGAGGAGGACGAGGAGAACAATGGGGGCAAAGGCAGGGAGGGCGATGAGGGCAAGGAGGGCGAGGAAGGCGAGGAGAATTGGAGACAGAGGGGGAGACGAAGCGGAATACGAGACGAGGGAGGAGGCGAATGAGGAGGGGGGGGAGGAGGAGGAGGAGGAGGATGAGGAGGAGGAGGAGGAGGAGGAGGAGGAAGAGGGAGGAAGAGGAGGAGGAGGAGGAGGAGGAGGAGGCGAAGGAGGAAGAGGCGAAGGAGGAGGCGAAGGAGGAGGGGACTTGGAAAAGAGAGGCAGGACGGGACGACGGTGGAGGAAGTGGGGGAGGGACTCTGGGGATATCCACGCTTCTTTTCTTCGCGGGTCAACGAGTGTCCTCCTCCTCCTCCTCCTCCTTCCCCGTCTCCTCCTGATCCTCCTCCTCCTGCTCCTCCTGCTCCTCCTCCTCCTCCTCCTCCTCCTCCTCCTCTCCTCCTCCTCCTCCTCCTCCTTGGGCGGGGGGGGGGGGCGGGGGCGGCCTTCCCAGGAGGCGACGGAGCTGCTTCGAGGGGCCTGGAGAAGCTGCTCTCGGAACGATCCCCCGACCCCATCTACTCCGACCCTGTCGAAGAGGCCTAGAGAGAGAGATACCAATGATATGTACATGGCGGTCTCTTGAAACCCCGAACCCAACCATGTTGACATCTCTTTGAAAGAAACTTTGTACTTCCTCCGGCGTCCGCCAGCCTTCCTCTGGCGGCGGCGGCCCCGGTTTACTTCCGCCGCCGACGGCCTTCTGCGGCCCCTGGCCGAGGGAGAGATGCCAACTCCTTCGACCCTCGAAGACGAAGCCCTTTCCGGAACGCCCCGTACGTCCTCCTGGGAGGCGTACGTCCGACCCGAACATACACTAGACCAATATTGTAGCACATCGTTACCTGAGGGGCTTGGCCAGAGAACGCCCGTAACGGAGCTCTGGCTGCTCATTCGTTGTGTTGTTTTCCTGGGGGGGGTGGCAAAATGCGTGACATGCTGGCCGCTCATAGCATGCGCCCACTGGAGCCTTTTTGGGGGCGGCATCGGGGAGACGCGCGAATCATCCTCTGCCTGCGTCACCGAGTTGCGTCCGCTGCCATGCGGAACACGCCTCCGCCGTCGTGAATCTCGTGCAGCTGCTCGGCACTTATTTTTGCCACCTCGCGATCATATGTCAGCAATCCATTGAGCTCATGTTCCACATCAGTCGTCTGTGTGTAGATGGCTCCCGCAACACCATTCTTCACCAACCGCCTCAATTTCTGGAAAGTACTGTTGTACGATTGAAGGAGGCCTTGCACGTCCTCATTGTTGCTATAACCGAAGGTGCCTTTGTGGGACTTCTCCCAAATGTGCCCATCCACTGGCAACGTGTGGCCGCCGAACTCCCCTACCACCTTTACATAATCACGGAACCGCGTGTCACCGGTCTCGAACGTTGGATTTGGGTAATTGTGCCTGTCCGCGATGTCGCCAGCAGGCCAAAAATTTCCACCGCTCGCTACGTTCACCAGCCGTGAAGGATCGATGCGCTTGATTGTTTCGCTCACTTCTGTCGTTCTGTGTTGGCCCCATGCCTCATTGAAGGGCACCCAAACAACGATGGACGGATTGTTCCGCAGCGCGCGAATCATCTCCGCGAGCTCTGCGAGGTACTGATGATGAGCCTCTTCTGGCCACTGCGCCTCTGGCTGGACGGTGAAATTCTTGACCCTCTCTATCCACTTTGGCCAATTGCCAGGGCTCACTTTCCGCGCCAGGTCGTTGCAGGGAGTGTGACCAGCCTCGCAGCCCGCGGCTGCAGGCTGGTCCTGCCATACCATCACGCCCACGCGGTCGCAATAGGCATAGTAGCGCCGAGGCTCAACCTTCATATGCTTACGGATGACGTTGAAGCCACTCGCCTTGACGAAATCAATGTCGAATCGCATCGCAGCATCTGATGGCGGGGTCAGTCCACCATCAGGCCACCAACCCTGATCCAAGACACCGTAATGGAAGACGAACTCGTCGTTCAAGGTGAACCTGTAATTCCCGCTGGGATCGCGCTTCTTCCCGACCGTTCGGATGCCAACATAAGACTGTACCACGTCCACCCGGCTGCCCTCGGCCACCAGTTCCACCGATAGGTCGTAGAGGAAAGGCGACGCTGGACTCCACAGCTTGGCCGCGGGCACGGGCGCTATGCACGGCTCGCCCTTGGCGCAGTGGGCTGTAGCCACTGCGTTGGGTCCGCCGTCCATGACACTCACACGCACGTCTACTGGTCGACTGCCGTCGACATCCACGTCCACCTGGATGACTGCGGGGCTGGATGTTGTGGTGATTTTGATATCTTTGATGAATGTGTCGGGGACAGTCTCCAGCCACACTGTGCCCCTGATGCCTGACGAGGCGCTGTACCAAATCTTCCCCCCCCGTGAAGATTGTTTCCCCATGAGCGTGTAGGGGGACATCGTGTCCCTGACGCCAACGACGATCTCGTTCGGACCGTCTTGTAGTTGCGAGGTTACATCGAACTCGAAAGGCGTATTGCCACCCTTGTGAAAGCCAACATGCTTCCTGTTGACCGAAACGACGCACTCGTAGTCAACAGATTCAAAGTGCAGCAGATACCGCTGCGACGGCTCACGAGAGAGGTCTACCACTCGTTGATAGAACATCACCTCGTCTCCTCCCAGCTTGTGGCCGACGCCGCTCAAGTTTGACTCGATACTAAACGGGACCGAGATGATGCCTTGCCTTCGTATTCGATTCTTGTCTGCGTGAGACCACTCTGCGAGAAGCCCGCCGCGAGCACTCCACTCCAAGCTGTCCGCGGTGACCCTGTACTGCCAGTCGCCGTTCAGGCTGCGCCACCCCTGCCGCACCATCGCAGGGCGCGGGTGCTCCGGCCACGCGGCGCCGCCTGCCGCACTCCAGCGCGTCGGCAGGAGGCCGCCGACGCTCCCCTCCGCGGCCGACTCGCGCTGGTGGCGCGCGGGGCCTCGCAGTGAGAGGGAGACGGCTTCTGCCACCAGCAGAGGCGACCACCAGGGCGACACCACGGCAGCCCAGGCGGCACTGCGCAGGCGCCGCGGGCTCGCCATGCCCGAGTCTAACTGTATGTAAAGTACGGCATCGGACACATGACTGCGAACTGGCGGTGGGCCGCGGCGGCTTGAGCCAAAATGGCTACGAAAACGAACCTGAGTCGAACTTGAGTCCTGCTTGAGCCGGCCCCAGGAAGGGCCCCCCAAAACGAGCATCTACGGAGCTCATGCTGTAAGATTTCTCGGCGAGCGCGTCACCCCTGATGGGGGGCGATGTGCACATCGTACTGGTGTTAGATCCAGCGTGTCCCCCTACAGGCTGATTTTGGATGAAAAATACGAGATTGCCAAAACATATTAATAGTCATAAGTCATAAGAGGAATCGTCCCCTGACTATTTTGTTACTGTTTTTGAATACTCCCTTTGTAGAGGGACAGGCCCGCCTTATACTTTGTGTGCTGGGGTGGCGCCGAGGTCGCTCCGCGGCCCCCGGGCCAAACGGCTAGGCAGAACCGTGCGCTGAGATTTTAGAGGCCTCCTAGATGAGGCTTGAATACCGTGGGGCGTTGACCTAAGGAAACCTAGTAAGGAGCGAGACTCCTGTTTCCAACAAGTGACACTTCGACTTCTTATGCTCAGGCAAACCTGAGGCAAACTGCAAAACAACCAAGGAACACGGAGCCCCTCCCCAATGCTAAGGGTTCCTTCTTCAGCGCCCCGACTGTAGAGGCCTCCTAGGTGGGGTCCGAGTAGATGGGGTGGAAGGATTGCGCCGCCAGTGCATCGCCGATGTCTCGGCGATGCATCGGCGATGCACCACCGACGTCGACGACGCATCGGCGACGCCGGGATGAAGCAAATCGGGCTCCACATCGAGCCGCATCGTGGATGCATCGACGATGCGGCGCGATCCTCCCACCCCATCTACTCGGACCCCATCTAAGAGACCTAGACCAATGTCAAGCCTGGACGCGATGCGTCGCATGGTCCAATTGGAAAGAAACAGACATAGCCTCACCACCGCCAACACCTGGTGAGTATAACATCTGCTGCTCCGCAGGATGCAAGCATGCAAACTGCCATGCAAGAACGCCCAACGATATACACGCCGAACTCCGATCGCACCGAACAACTAGACGTCGCGCCCGGGGGGGAAGTGAGAGGGGGCGGGCCTTCTCGGAGAGCTTGAAAGACACCCCGCATTCTGAGCAGTTTCCTGAGCCCTCCCCGACACCCTGCATTCTGAGCAGTTCTCTGAGAAGTTGTCTGAGACCACCTCCTCGAAGGCCCGAGGGCTTCTGAGAAGCCCCGCCGCCTTCTGCCAAGGCCTTCTCCTTCTCACCTCCCCCTGGGCGCGCGCCGGCGAACTCGGTTTCTGAGCCATCACTCGGGTCTCTGGCGGCCGTTCCTCGGAACGCTCTCGCCGGAGCGTGGCCGCTGGAACGCATCCCGAGGCTGGCAAACCGCCGAGAAACAACGAACACGTCTGCACACCTCGAAGCCAGACCCCCGGCGTCGTGATTTTGTCCCAACGTCGGCCCCCAAGCTCGGCGCCGAACAGAAAGACCAGAGAAGGCTCGCTAGGGGTACAGTCGGGCCGCTGAAGAAGGAACCCTTTTCGCTGGGGAGAGGCTCGGTGTTCCTTAATTGTGTTACAGTTTGTCACAGGTTTCCCTCTGGTTTTCCTTGGGGAAGCGAAGTTGGACTTATGTAAAAGAAGGGGCCTCTTTCCTCGGCGGTGGACATACCTCCCTTTAGCAAACCGCCCTTTGGTGAAAACGGCCTAGGACCGAAACCGACGGACCTGGACCCGCAAATAGAACGGCCGCGACGCCCTCTCGCACACCGAACACGGCCAACTCACGAATCGACGTGTCAGGATAGGAGGTCTATCAACCTCTGAGTTCCTCCTTCATGGGGAAACCAAAAGGACCGATACCGCTACTCCCCGGACCTCTCCCGGGGTGCGTTCGGACCAGAATTTCGAGGCGAATCCCGCGGTGGTGACGAGGGAGGCCCAGGAGGCCCGAAACAGGGGAAAACGATGGGAGGGTAGAGGTAGGGTACCTCTTCCTCCTCTGAATACAGGGTCTCCCTCGCTCGGCGCCGAAGCAACAACAAAAACAGAGCACTCGCCGCGGTCGTCCGGGGCCGCCCAGCCGCCGCCCAGATGTAACGTTAGGCCGGGCGTGTCCCCCCTACAGACGGGCCTTGGACGAAAAATAAAACATACCCCCAAGATGCCCCCAAATACCCCCCCAAAATGGTCTGAAAACAAAAAAGAAAATCGTCCCCTGACTATGTCTGGACTATGTTTGAAGATTCCCCCTGCAGAGGGGCGGGCCCGACTCACACCTTACCTGTCACGCCGGCGAGGCGCCGCGGCGGCGACGCGCGTCCTCGGCGCGCCCAGGTCCACGGGCGGGGCCGGCGCCCTCGCCGCGGCGGCCGGCTCCGCCGCGCCTGGGGGGGGGGCGGCCCCGGCGGCGGCGGCCGACGGCGGCGGGCGCCGCAGACCTGCGACGATGCTGCGGACTTTCGGCGGCGAGCGAGGGGGGGAAGTCAGATTTCGTGGCGTTTGCGTGGGCTCCTTGGCCGTGTTTTCCGCCCTCGGGGTGCGTTCCAGCGGCTGCGCCTCGCCGAGGGCGTGCCGGGGATGCCCGGATCGCCCCAAACGGCCGCCGGAGACCCGAGCCATGACCCGGGAAACTGCACTCGAAGGCGAGCGAAGGCGGGGGAAGTCAGAAGGAGGAGGCCGTCGCAGGAGGCGGCGGGGCGTCTCGGAGGCCCTGGGCTGGCCGCCGGGACTCTGTGACCAATCCGAAGAGTGTTGTCGATGCCGCGCTTTTGGGCCCCTGCTCGGGCCCCGATGCCATCAGGAATGAGTCTGGTGCGTGCAGCCATGGCCCAGGGGAAGCGGTCGGGACCTGCAGTCAAGCCGTATCATAGGGATGCGCGGCAAAGATGCAAGGGCCTTGGAGGACCACGTGAAGGTTTTTCGAACGAGGTTGGCCATCGAAAGTCTCTAAGGCTGGGCCGAAGGGGCAAGGATGCAAGGGTACCCTTGGGAAGGTTGCCCATCCTTCTGATGCGGGTTGACTGTACGGGGCTACGGACAATTGCGGCTCCTGCGGCCAGACGGCCGAGACAGACTGCGGCGACGGCGACGGCGACTGCGGCGGTGGCGGCGACTGGCGGCGGCGGCGGCTTGGGAAAATCGGGGCGACCGGTCTGTCCCCGTCCCCCGAGTCTGGCTTCGGTCCTCGGGAGAGAGACGACTCGGGGAGGGAAACGGCCTGGCCCCGAGGGGAAGCGAGGAGGCAATAGCATACCGATGCCGCTGCTCCCCAGACCTCTCCCGGGGTGCGTTCTGAACAGAATTTCGAAGCGAATCTGGCCGTGGCTACGAGGGCCTCCCAGGAGGCCCAAAAAGGCGATAACGAAGCAAGGGTAGCGGTATCGTTCCTCCTCTGAGGGATGGGGTCGAGAGGTCCAGGCACCTACGCATCGGCGAGACGCGGCGGCGGCGACCGACGGCAACACGCGACGGCGGCGCCCGACGACTGCGGCGGCGGCGGCCGACAACGATCGGCGGCGACCTGGGGCGGCGACCGCGGCGGCAGCGCCGACCGACGGCAACCGCGGCGGCGACGACGGCGCAGGCGACGGCCGGCGACGGCGCGTACGACCGACGGCGATGATCTGCCACAAAAACAAGATCGGGCGCGGCCTAACCGACCCCTGACAAACCATCCCCTTCCGTGACGTCACCCTCGCCGTTCAAGCTTCCCTTCGGCCGCACGCACACACACACACACAGAGACGTCTTGGGGCGAGGCGAGGGGGGGCGTCACGGAAGGGGATGAATTGCTAGGGGTCGGTCAGGCCGCCCCTGACAAAGTGCCGTGTCTCCAACGACGGCAACAACGACGCCCAAAGTCCTCGACAACCGCCCGTTCTTGACCTTCGACCACGCCCTTCTCGTGGGGGGGGGGCTCTGCTTCTCGTCCGCTGGGGGGGCAAGATTGACGCCACCAAAAGCCACGAGGCAGCCAGACTCGGCAACAGGGGCGAGCGCAAGACTGCTGGCCCCGAGGCTGCTGGCCCCTTGCAAGAGGGAAGGAGGAGAACGAGGTGGAGGACGAGGAGGAGGAGGAGGAGGAGGAGGGGGAGGAGGAGGAGGAGGAGGAGGAGGAGGAGGAGGAGGAGGAGGAGGTGCCATATGAACCACGAAAGGGTACCGCAGGAAGACGAATCATCTTTACGACAAGTTTGGACTGTCGGAGTCGGCGTTTCCCAACCATCCTGTGGTATTGGGTCCTCGTTTTGAAAAGACGGTCCCCGCGTTCCCTCCGTCCTTCCATCCTGTTTTCCTTCGTGCCACCGCCCGCATGCGTCACGCACACCAATTTCGGCACACACCTCACACGTTTCGTGGCCCCACGGGAAGCTCCACCGAAGGCCCCAGAGCCACGGCCCGCATGCGTCACGCGTACTCATTTCGGCACACCCCTCACACGTCTCGTGGCCCCACAAGGAGCTCCACCGAAGGCCCCAGCGTCACCGTCCGCATGCGTCACGCACACCCATGTCGGCACACACCTCACACGTTTTGTGGCCCCATAGGGGGCTCCACCAAAGGCCCCAGCGTCACCACCCGCATGCGTCACGCATACCCATTTCGGCATACCCCTCACACGTTTCGTGGCCCCACAGGGAGCTCCACCGAAGGCCCCCCGCCCGCATGAGTCACGCATACCCATGTCGGCACACCTCTCACACGTTTCGTGGCCCCACAAGGAGCTCCACCGAAGGCCCCCGTGCCACCGTCCGCATGCGCCACGCACACCGATTTCGGCGCACCTCTCACACGTTTCGTGGCCCTACAGGGCGCTCCACCGAAGGCCCCAATGCAACAGCCCACATGCGTCACGCACACTCATGTCGGCACACCCCTCACACGCTTCGTGGCCCCACAAGGAGCTCAACCCAAGGCCCCAGTGCCACTTCCCACATGCGGCACGCACACCCATTTCGGCATACCCCTCACACGTCTCGTGGCCCCACAAGGAGCTCCACCGAAGGCACCCCGCCCGCATGCGTCACGCACACCCATTTTGGCACACCCCTCACACGTTTCGTGGCCCCACAGGGAGCTCCACCGAAGGCACCCGTGCCACAGCCCGCATGCGCCACGCACACCGATTTCGGCGCACCTCTCACACGCTTCGTGGC